ATGGTGTTGGAAGAAAATTCTGACCCCAGTTCAAAGCCAGATGCTGGAAATAAAATGGAGGCAGGCTGCATTTTGGAAAGGAGGCCTCGGTTTATTTAGTAGCCAGAAACTTCAGTGACAGCAGCATGTTTCTGGGGTGGTTATAAGTTACTTTTTTCAGTGCCGTTGTAAATATACTTGTTGGAAGGAAAATCCATCTGGTTCAGGTCCAAGCCGGGAAAAAGGCACTGGAAATAAAATGGAGGCTGACTGGAAAGGAAGATTCTGTTTAGTGGTGAACGGAACCACCAACAGCATGTGGTTCTGGGGCAGCTGACCAAATAGAGTTGAGAATGGGTTGGTTTTTTATACCTTCTTTGGGCTTTGTATTAGAACTTCCTGTTCCTGAGCAGGAACATATCCTTTAATAGTCTATTGGCTGTTGTCAGAGTCAGATTCCTATGGGGTCATGGCTGTCTCTTACAGCAGGGGTGTCAAACTCGAAGCCCATGGGGCCACCCTGGAACCAGCGACAGACTGGCCCATGGTGCCTCTGCCAGCGAAAACGAGCTCCCAGCGAAAACGCCGCCCTCCCGACTTCATTTTCACTGGCAGAGGGTTGCAGGAAGCCGTCACAGCCGAAAACGGACCTCGGGAGCTCGTTTTCACTGGCAGAGTGCTCGGGCCCCCACACGCACCCCCCAAATGACTGATGTTGAGCTGCCCCCCCCCACCCTGGCCACGTCCCCCCCCAGGTCAAACATAACCCTGATGCGTCCCTCAATGAAATCGAGTTTGACACCCCTACTCTATAGGCAAAAGAGGAAATGCAAATCCTAGGTGCTTGTCTGAGCTAATCCTCTCAACCCTTTTGGCTCGCCCAACTGCTTATCTGGAGTTTCCGTCTGACCCAATCTTTCCGAACGGATTACCAAATCTGCATTTCTAAAAGCTGGCCTCTTCAGTTTCTGCTTGGGGCAGGGAGACCCCCCTCCCCCGGGCTGGTTTCTGCCTCCCTTAAGATTTTTTTCCCCATTTCTCCTTTAGGGGAAATATTTTACCTTTTGGGTGCGGGGTTTACTATATACCGAAAAGCATGCCCTCTTGTGTATGGCTGGATATTTGCCACCCAGATTCAGTATTTTTTAAAAAATATCCTTTTGTTGTGACCTAGGCTCAAGTAGTTTTTACCAGACACAATCAGTCCTAAACAAACATATTTTATTAGAACAGCTGAGAATGTTCGAATTAATTCCAAAACAAATCCTTCAGAAACAGTCCTTCGGCCTTATCACCAACCTTTGTCTTCTTTGGCACCCTGCCAAAGGCTTTTCTTGGCAAAACCCAACAAAGTTCAGAAGCAAGGGACACCGACAAGAAACAAATGTAGCAACGTTGCTTTCCTACAAAGATCCCAAGAACCCTTGCTGCTCTTTTAAGCCTTCTGGGAGGGGCTAATCATCTCTTGGCCTTACTCCCGAGTCGTCCTTTTTGCTTTAGCTGCTCTTGCTTTCTGGCAGCTCTTCGCATGCATGCACTAGGAACAGGCTCCTCCTGTTCCTCTGCCTCTCTGCTGTCAGCCTCTGGAGGCTCCGGAGTCCGCACATCACTCCCAGATGGCCCTGGCCCCATCTCTGCCTCGAACGCAGAGCCCTCGTCCGGGCCTTCCCCAGACTCCAGGACTGGTCCATTGTCCTCCCCAGCCTCCTCACTGTCTGACTCTGCTGCCAGCTCCGCAGGCTGCTGGCGGACCACAACAGCTTGAAGGATTTTTGTTGTTAGTTGCGAAGTCATGTCCAACCCATCACGACCCCATGGACAACGTTCCTCCAGGCCTTCCTGTCCTCTACCATCCTCCGGAGTCCATTTAAGCTCACGCTGACTGCTCCCGTGACTCCATCCAGCCACCTCGTTCTCTGCCGTCCCCTCCTTCTTTTGCCCTCAATCTTTCCCAGCATTCGGCTCTTCTCCAGCGAGTCCTTCCTTCTCATTAAGTGGCCAAAGTATTTGAGTTTCATCTTCAGGATCTGGCCTTCTAAAGAGCAGTGAGGGTTTGCTGTGACCCAATTCCTGGGCTTTTCACAGGTAAACGAGAGGCAGCACACCGAATGAAGGGGTGTTTTTCTGATCTTTGCATCTCCATTGGCTGCTGAAATGTCTCCCTTCCGGGCAGTTTTCTCACCCTTTAGAAAGTGGGAGAAGTAATACCTCTCCGAATCGCCAGGTGTTACTGCTGTCCAGTTTTTAAAGCGGACGAAAATGTTTGTTGAAGGGCGGTCTCGCTTGGAATGGATTGTGGGTACATTGGGAGCCAAAATCCAAGCAACTTTGCTCAGCCACCTATGCAACACACATTAACTTTTTCCCTTCTGCCTTTGTTTTGCACAAGGCTTGTTGTTCTGTTCTTCTGTTTTGCACGTGATGAGGTTACCTAGTTTGATAAATGAATAATAAAATGTCTGCCAAGAAAACCACCAAGTTCAGAGAGCACCAAGGACCCCACAGTTCTCCTCCTCTTCCTCCTCCCTCTTTCCCCTCCCCCTTTTCCCCCTCCCCCTCCTCTCTGCAATTACCACTCCCTTCTAGCACTGGTGATGTTATCTACTTCGGTAACAAAACGTCTGCAAGAAAACCAACACACTCAGAGACAAGTATAGACTTCACAGACGTCCTTCTCTCCGCCAATCACCCTCCTTCTAACATTGATGATACTATCTAGTTGGGTAATGAAACGCCTGCGAGAAAATCATCAAGCTCAGAGAGCACAGAAGGACCCCACAATTTTCCTCCTCCTCCTCCTCCTCCTCCTCTCCCATTCCCTCCTAGCACTGGTGATATTATCTAGTTGGGTCATGAAACATCTGCAAGAAAACCACCAAGCTAAGAGAGCACAAGGACCGCACAGTTCTCCTCCTCCTCATTCTTCCCCTTCCTCCTCCTGTCCTTCCTTCTCCTCTCTGCAAGCCCCACTCCCTCCTAGCACTGATGATGTTACCTAGTTGGGTCATTAAACGTCTGCAAAAAAAAAAACACATCAAGCTCAGAGAACACAAAGGATCTCATGAAGTCCTCTTCTTCTTTTCAACTCCTCCTCTTCTCCACCTCCTATTCCCAAACCCCACTCCGTTCTAGCACTGATGACGTTACCTATTTGGATCATGAAACGTCTGCCAGAAAACCACCAAGCTCAGAGAGCACAAGGACCGCACAGTTCTCCTCCTCCTCATTCTTCCCCTCCTTCCTGTCCTTCCTTCTCCTCTCTGCAAGCCCCACTCCCTCCTAGCACTGATGATGTTACCTAGTTGGGTCATTAAACGTCTGCAAAAAAAAAAACAACACATCAAGCTCAGAGAACACAAAGGATCTCATGAAGTCCTCTTCTTCTTTTCAACTCCTCCTCTTCTCCACCTCCTATTCCCAAACCCCACTCCGTTCTAGCACTGATGACGTTACCTATTTGGATCATTAAACGTCTGCCAGAAAACCACCAAGCTCAGAGAGCACTAAGGACCCCACAGTCTTCCTCCTCCTCCTCCTCCTCCTCTTCCCCTCTCTGCAAACCCCATCCCCTTGCAGCACTGATGATGTTGCCTAGTTGGATAATGAAATGTGCAAGAAAAGAACGAAGCACAGAGAGCACCAAGAACTCCCTGAATTAAAGTTCCTTGATCAAGCAATTCCCTAATTAACTAACTCCCTAATCAAGGAACTATCAAGGAGAAAATCAGACACACACACACACACAAACACAACACTGGCATGGCAAACAATTGTATATAACAGGGATCTCACCCCACTCTCTTCTAGCACTGATTATTTATTTATTTGTTTGTTTATTTGTTTGTTCGATTTATATGCCGCCCTTCTCTGGAGACTCAGGGCGGCTTACAATGCATTAAGCAATACTTCATACTTTTGTATATACCTGCTTAGTAGGGCTTTCGTGCCCCACCCCCCCAGCGGTGTTCTTTTTTTATACAAAGTCAGCTTATTGCCCCCACAATCCGGGTCCTCATTTTACCTACCTCGGAAGGATGGAAGGCTGAGTCAACCTTGAGCTGGTGAGATTCGAACTCGCCGTAATTGCAGGCAGCTGGCAGCTAAGTGCTACTTTAACAGCAGTTTAGTCCGCTGTGCCACCAAGGCTCTTTTTAATGTTATCTAGTTGGATAATGAAACCTCTACAAGGAAAGCACCATGCTCAGAGAGCACCAAAAAACCCCACAATCCTCCTCCTCCTCCTCCTCCTCCTCCTCCTCCTCCTCCTCCTCCTCCTCCTCCTTTCCACTCCCTTCTAGCATTGATGATGTTATATAGTTGGGTCATGAAACATCTGCAAAAAAAACCCACCAAGCTCAGCTCACCACCAAGAACCCCTCTCTCCCTCCTCCTCCTCCTTTTCCTCCTCCTCCTCCTCCTCTCCCCAAACCCAACTCTTTTCTAGCACGGATGATGTTCCCTAGCTGGATCATGAAATGGTCTGCAAGAAAACAACCAAGTTCTGAAAGCATCAAGCACCCCACAATTCAACCCCTGAGCTACAAATATATATATATATTAATTTGATTTATATGCCACCCTTCTCCGGAGACTCAGGGCGGCTTACAATGCGTTAAGCAATAGCCTTCATACTTTTTGTATATTTTACACAAAGTCAGCTTATTGCCCTCACAAACTGGGTCCTCAATTTACCTACCTTAGAAAGGATGGAAGGCTGAGTCAACCTTGAGCCTGGTGAGATTCGATCTTACTTTAATTGCAGACAGCTGGTGTTAAATTACAGTGCTTCTGTCTGTTGAGCTAAACCAGGCTCCTCTGGTTTTGGAAGAGAAAATATTCTCTTCCAAAATGAGATTCATCCTTATTCCTAGTCTTAAATTTAAGTGCTCCTAGACGGTTGTGCTACAGGCTCCATGTTTCTTTAATGCTCACTGCTGCATAGGGGAAAAAAAATAGCATTTTTTCCCCCCTCTATGCTCTTTTTTTTGGGGGGTGGGGCTGTTTTCTTCTCTTTCTTCCAGAGCCACTGACTTCCCACCTTTTGCCATGGCCAAATTAGAGACCCTCTCCATCCTGAGTGATGCCAGCTACCACAACCAGGAGACCTTCCATGCCTTCCACCCCAGAAGCTCCGAATCCACCTCGCAGAGCAGCGTGGGCAGCGGCGTCGCTCACGAAAAAGACTTTGGGGTGAAGAGCCTGGTGGTCACCAGGCCTCAGAACACCAACCAGCCGCTGGACGGGACGCGGAGTAGCTACTCTCTCTCCACGCGTCACGCCGGGGAGGAGAAAGTCTCGTTCCATCTACATCAACGGGGACTTGCGCAAGTGCGAGAAGGGAAAAAGCGATGTCGGTGGGAACGTGGCGGCCAACAACGAGAAAAATATGCCTCCGCCGCTGCCCCAGTACAGAGAAGCCAATAAACCACCAAAGATATTGCCAGTCTCTGGGAAACTGGACCAGGTAGGTGTCCATCTTCAGATGAGAATCGGAAGAGTTGGAAGGGACTTTGGAGGTCTTCTAGTCCAACCTTCAAGATGGTGGTTGGTTCCGTGCCAGTCAACAGAGAACCTAATAGGGGTGGCCCCTTTAGGACTTGTGGACTTCAACTCCCAGAGTTCCTGAGACAGCCATGCTGGCTGAGGAATTCTGGGAGTTGAAGTCCACAGGTCATAAAACGGCCATCATGCCTCATGCTGGCTGAGGAATTCTGGGAGTTGAAGTCCACAGGTCATAAAACGGCCATCATTCCTCATGCTGGCTGAGGAACTCTAAGCCGCCCTGAGTCTCCGGAGAAGGGCGGCATATAAATCAAATTTTAAAAAAAGGGCCATCATTCCCCATGCTGTCTGAGGAATTCTGGGAATTGAAGTCCACAGGTCATAAAAGGGCCATCATTCCTCATGCTGGCTGGAGGAATTCTGGGGGTTGAAGTCCACAAGTCATAAAAGGGCCACCATTCCTTATGCTGCCTGAGGAATTCTGGGAGTTGAAGTCCACAGGTCATAAAAGGGCCATCATTCCCATGCTGGCTGAGGAATTCTGGGGGTTGAAGTCCACAGGTCATAAAAGGGCCATCATTCCCCATGCTGGCTGAGGAATTCTGGGAGTTGAAGTCCACAGGTCATAAAAGGGCCATCATTCCTCATGCTGGCTGAGGAATTCTGGGGGTTGAAGTCCACAAATCATAAAAGGGCCATCATTCCTCATGCTGGCTGAGGAATTCTGGGAATTGAAGTCCACAAGTCATAAAAGGGCCATCATTCCTCATGCCGGCTGAGGAATTCTGGGAGTTGAAGTCCACAGGTCATAAAAGGGCCATCATTCCCCATGCTGGCTGAGGAATTCTGGGAGTTGAAGTCCACAAGTCATAAAAGGGCCATCATTCCTCATGCTGGCTGAGGAATTCTGGGAGTTGAAGTCCACAGTCCTAAAGGGCCACAATTCCCCACCCCTGACCTAAGATGTTGCTTTATTTATTAAATTTACTTGCTGCCCATCTTGTTTCCAAGTGGCTCTATGGGCGCTTTAGGAAGAATGGTGCTTGTCTTCCATGCCTTTCCGGTTCAGGCCGTCCTTGATTTACGACCACAATTGAGCCTCACATTTCTGTTGCTCAACGAGGTACCTGTTAAGTGAGTTTTGCCCTGTTTTACGATCTTTCTTGCCACAGTTGTTCAACAAACTTATTGTTAAGTGAGCAACACATTTGTTAAGCGAATCTGGCTTCCCCATTGACTTTGCTTGTCAGAAGGTCGCAAAGGGGATCATGCAACCCCGGGGACATTGCAACCGTCATAAATACGAGCCAGTTGCCAAGCGTCTGAATTTTGATCACGTGACCATGAAGATGCCACAATGGTCGTAAGTGTGAAAAACGGTCATATGTCACTTTTTTTTCCAGTGCTGTTGTAACTTTGAACAGTCCCTAAATGAGAACTGTTTTAAGTCGAGGTCTATCTGGAAATGTAATAAATAAATTTAATAAACGTGATAGATAGATAGATAGATAGATAGATAGATAGATAGATAGATAGATAGATGGATGATGGATAGTTGATAGAGGTAGGGAGGTAGAGATAGATAAATGATAGATACTGTAGGTAGGTAGGTAGGTAGGTAGACAGGTACGTAGGTAGACAGGTAAATAGATAGGTAAATAGGTAGGTAAATAGATAAATAGGTAAATAGTAGGTAAATAGATAGATAGGTAAATAGATAGGTAAATATCTAATAGGTTAATAGATAGGTAAATAGATAAATAGGTAAATAGGTAGGAAGGTAAATCGATGGATAGGTAAATAGGTAAAGAGATAGATTGGTAGATAGATAGATGATAGATAGACAGACAGACAGACAGACAGATAAATAGATGATGGATAGTTGATAGAGGTAGGGAGGTAGAGATAGATAGATGATAGATACAGGTAGGTAGGTAGACAGGTACGTAGGTAGACAGATAGGTAAATAGATAAATAGGTAAATAGGTAAATAGATAGGTAAATATCTAATAGGTTAATAGATAGGTAAATAGGTAGGTAGGTAGGTAAATAGATGGATAGGTAAATCGGTAGGTAAAGAGATAGGTAGGTAGGTAGGTAGGTAGGTAAATAGATAGATTGGTAAATAGACAAATAGATAGGTAAATAGATAGATAGATAGGTAAATAGATAGATAGGTAAATAGATAAATAAATTGAACTGTTTTACTTGATGTCTTCTTCTTCTTTTCCCTTTCAGAATACTGAGCCCTTAGTTAGACCTTCAGCCTTTAAACCAGTTGTTCCTAAAAACTTCCATTCCATGCAAAACCTGTGTCCACCGCAGAACAATGGCGTGGCCACCGAGAACCGCAAGACGTTAAACCACACGCACAGCAATAGTCCTGCGCCAGTCAAAAGCAGCCTGGAGAAGGCCAGCCTTAACAGGACTACCAACCCAGGAGTTGGTCTCTCCGATTCTGGCCGCAACTCTTTAACCAGCTTGCCCACGTACGGCACGGGCTACAGCCAGCACGTGGGACCCATGAGCGCGTCCACCAGTCACATCAACCGCATCGGGACCACCTACGGCGAGAAGAACGTTGTGGGATACAACGGGATATCTACCTCAGACAGCGGCCGGTCTTCCACGAAGAGCACCTCTTCCTTCAGCCGACTCAACCATCTCAACGAAACGATGCCTTTCCACTCGCCTTCCACGGACGACATCATCCAAGACTTGGAGAACCGCCTGTGGGAGAAGGAACAGGAAGTCCTCCAGATGAGGAGGAACCTGGACAAGAGCGAGGCGGCCATCTACCAAGTCTTTGAGGAGAAACAAAAGATTTGGGAACGGGAGATGGACGAGCTGAGGCAGAACTACGCCAACAAGCTCCAGCAGGTCTCCAAGAAAGCCCAGCGAGCTCAACAAACTCTCCAGCTCCAGATCTTTAAGCTCCAGCAGGAGAAGAAGAAGCTCCAGGATGACGTCGCTCAGCTCCTTCAACAGCGAGAAGAGCTGGAGAAGAAATTTGTGGCTTTCAAAAAAGAACAGGCTGACTTTCTTCCCAAGATTGAAGAGACCAAATGGGAGGTGAGAGTCAACCAGGGTCAACACCGTGCAGTGGCCTCCTAAGTGTGGCTGGTTTTGAGAAAGAAGAGTCTTCTTTTACTCCTTCCTCTTCTAACTACGGGTAGTCCTCAACTTCCGACCATCCATTCGGCCACCCTGAGGCACCATGTGCTCCGGTGGTGAAATTCAAATTTTTTTATTACCGGTTCTGTGGGCGTGGCTTGGTGGGCGTGGTGTGGTGTGGCTTGGTGGCGTGGTGGCAGGGGAAGGATACTGCAAAATCTCCACTCCCAGTCCACTCCAGGGGAAGGATACTACAAAATCCCCATTTCCTCCCCACTCCTGGGGAAAGGATACTGCAAAATCCCCATTTCCTCCCCACTCCAGGAGAAGGATACTGCAAAATCCCCATTTCCTCCCCACTCCTGGGGAAAGGATACTGCAAAATCTCCACTCCCACCCCACTCCAGGAGAAGGATACTGCAAAATCCCCACACCCACCCCACTCCAGGGGAAGGATACTGCAAAATCCCCATTCCCACCCCACTCCAGGGGAAGGATACTGCAAAATCCCCACTCCCACCCCACTCCTGGGGGAAGGAGACTGCAAATCCTAACCTGAACCCTTCTTCCCACCTCTTTCCTTTCCTTTCCTTTCTTTCCTTTCCTTTCCTTTCCTTTCCTTTCCTTTCCTTTCCTTTCCTTCCTCCCACCTCTTTCCTTTCCCTTCCTTTCCTTCCTCCCACCTACCTCCTTTCCTTTCCTTTTTCCTTCCTTTCTCCCACCTCCTTCCCTTCCCTTCCTTTCCTTTCCTTCCTCTTTCCTTTCCTTTCCTTTCCTTTCTTTTCCTTTCCTTTCCTTTCCTTTCCTTTCCTTCTTTCCTTTCCTTTCCTTTTCTTTTCCTTTCCTTCCCTTCCCTTCCTTCCTCTTCCCTTTCTTTTCTTTTCTTTTCCTTTCCTTTCTTTTCCTTCCCTTCCCTTCCTTCCTCTTCCCTTTCTTTTCTTTTCCTTTCCTTTCCTTTCCTTTCCTTCCCTTCCTTTCCCTTCCTTTCCTTTCCCCTTCTTTCCCTTTCTTTCCCCTTTCCTTTTTCCTCTTGATAAAGGACCTTTGGGACAGTCTATCAGGTGATTGTAGGACTTCAAAAGGGCTCAGTTTTATTCCCTGTGCAGCTCTTGAGACAACATCGGGTCCTGCCCAGCAACTGACTTCGTTTAAGACGTGATCTCATGAGAATCTCTCTCTCTCTCATCCAGGTGTGCCAAAAGGCAGGTGAGATCTCCCTGCTGAAGCAACAGCTGAAGGATTCTCAAGCGGACGTGTCCCAGAAGCTGAACGAGATCGTTGGGCTGCGTACCCAACTCAAAGAAGGCAAGAGCTTCCTCCGAGAGAAAGAAGAGCAGTTCATGACTCTGAAGGACTCCTACAGCACCAAAAGCGTCAGCCTGGACTTCTGTGAGAATGAGCTGCAGCTCAAGATGGCAGAGGTCCAGATGCTGAGGGAGAAGCTCAGCCAGTGTGAGCTGGAAGTCTCCAACTTGAAGCAGACCTTGGCTCACCTGGGAGGACACCCCAATCACGTCGCTTCGGAACTCCCGGAGAAGCTCACGGCGAGGGACCCCTTGGCCTGCGAGAGCGACGAGGCCAAGATGAAACGGCAGAGCGAGGAGAACCTCAACGCCTTGAGGAGAGAAGTGGAGAGGCTCCAGGCGGAGTTGAAAGCGGAGCGCCAGTTACGGGAGCAGCAGATTTTGGACTTCGAGGAGGAACGTTGCACGTGGCAAGACGAGAAAGAGAAAGTCATCAAGTATCAGAAGCAACTGCAGTTGAACTATGTGGAGATGTATCAGAAGAACCAACTCCTGGAGCACAAGGTGAACGAGATGGCCAACAAGGCCAACAGCCTCTCCCACGCCGCGGATGAAAAGAAAACGTGGACTCCATCCAGACTGGAAAGGATAGAGTCCACAGAAATCTAAGGAAAAGAAAACCGAGGCATTTTGGAGGACAATGTTTTTTCCTAATTATGGTGCCTGTAATTCAGCTGGAGATCTTCCCAAGTAGAATATGTGACAAAACCAGCAGCCTAAATCTTTGCACTTGGCCCCTCAGATATACTTCGGTGCTCTACAAATTACTTTTATGGGGTGGGGAGGTTGGGGGGGGTGGGAAGCCACTGGTGTACTTTTGTGTTCCAGGGATGGTTTGACATCAGGAGGTCTTGTGTGTTGTCCTGTGGGCTTTTAGTTGCTGCTCTTTCTGTTCTGACTCCAATGTGCTACAATCTCGGCTCCCTTCTTGAATTCTTCACATGGCACGCTTAGCTCTGTGGGGTCCTTGGGGCTCTCTGAACTTGGTCGTTTCCTTGCAGATGTTTCATGACCCAGCTAGGTAACATCATCGATGTTTTGTAGGATAAACAGGCAGGAGACCAGCAGAGTGTCTCCAACAGAAGATGAAAACTCCTACATATGGACATAGATTTAACTATAGTTTCAGCTGGGAAAGGGTGATCGTCTTAGATCCATGATGGCAAACCTATGGCACGCGTGTCCGAAGTGGCACGCGGAGCCATGTCGCCTGGCACACACGGCATCACCCGTTCCTCTTCTGGGTTTCTGGCGCACATGCACGCACGATGATCACGCCTTCGTGCGCGTAGCAGGGCCGGAAACTGTTCTGCCCCAGCTGGAAACTGTTCTGCCCCAGCTACGGATCCCAAAGAACACAGCACGCACAAACTCTGAACAAAACTTAGTTTACTCAAATAACGCAGTTTTAGCAAATGCCAGCTCTTAATAAGCATTCTTAACAGCCTGCCAGAATTCCACAGATAAGATAGTTAGAGTCTTACTGGAGTTGGCAGAAAGCTCAGAAGCAAAGTTGCAGAGATATCCCAACTCAATGATTAGCGAACTAAAGTTGTTTCCTGCAGCTTGTTACAAGCTGTGTGCTTTCTTAAATAGGCTAAGGGAGTGGCCAATTAGCCCCAAGCCTTACTCTTGAGGAGACCTCCTCCTGAGGAACCACTCCTGCCTTTTGGCAGCTCTGCGCGCCCGTGCATTGAGAAGAGGCTCCTCCTCTTCTTCCTCTTCACTTAAAGGAGCCTCTGGAGGTTCTGAAGGCCCTGGCTGAATCCCTGTCTCTGGCACCACATCTTCTCCAGCCTCCTCACTGTCCGACTCAAGCGCCAGCTGCACAGGCTGCTGGCGCAGCACCATACCAGCCTCCTCGTCGTCGGGATCAGCAACAATCCGCGCAGGCCGCTGGCGGGCCACAACAGAAACTGGAAAAGCTGATCTTCTGTTTTTCTGCGTGATCATGAGCGCCGGCCACTTTATCGTCGCACACGCATGTGTGCCAGAAACCCAAAAGAATAGCTGGCCGGGGCAACTGGAAGTTTATTTTCAGGTGCACGTATGGCCCTGGGCAGCTCCTCGTCTGAATTGCGACCCAGATGAGCGTGCAGTGCCGAAAAGATTCGCCATCACTGTCCTAGACCAAGTTAAGTCCATAAATGCTAGAGAATTCCTGGAAGCTGGGCACTCCGACAAATCAGCCATCAACAGACACATAGGGGTAAACAACACTTACACGCCATTCAAAAGAGACAATCAAAAAGCCCAAAAGGAAACAAAAAACACTTCCTCACCAGCAATCATCACCCAGATAAGGCAGAGATTAAAACTGAGATTAATACTAGACCAATCCTGAAGAGGCTTGGGGTATGTACCCCAATCAAGGAACTACCAACTCAAGCGAACAATAAACAACAGCCTAACGAAGGAACTACCTGGCATAACCTCCCACCAGCACCAACTTGTATATAAACAGAGAGCAAACCCCACTCCTTTCTAGCACTGATGATGTTACCTAGCTGGGTCATGAAACGTCTGCAAGAAAAGCCCCGAGCTCAGAGAGCACCAAGGACTCCTCAATTCAACCCGGAGCTACAAATATTCTCTTCTATGAGAATAGAAGTTCTGAAGTCAGGGCAGGTGGGATTTTTCTGACCCACCTGCTCTTTTGCTCTATCCCTCGGTGAAACTCTCTTTTAACTTCCATCACTCCAGGAGAAGACGGTGTGTGTCTCGCCCAAAGAATGCCACGTTTCTCTGAGAAAAACGACCATTCCCAAGCTTCATTGAGAGGAACCCCTACCTACCTGTTGAGCAGATTAAAAGTAGTCTTCAATTATAGGATACCTTTTTTTTTTAAGCCTGCCAGAAATTAAGGGACATCATTTGAAATCCTTTCAGAGTGATCTTAGGTTCGGAAGCAACCCTGATCCACCATCCATGGATTGTTGTGACTGGGTCCTTCTGGCACTGTTATATAACTGTGGGGTACGGTGAGGTCCTTTAGACCAGGGGTCTCCAACCTTGGCAACTTTAAGCCTGGAGGACTTCAACTCCCAGAATTCCCCAGCCAGCTTTGCTGGCTGGGGAATTCTGGGAGTTGAAGTCCTCCAGGCTTAAAGTTACCAAGGTTGGAGACCCCTGCTCTAGACTAAAGATTGGAGCTAGTGAATTCAGGGAGTATCTACGTATCCTCCTGGTTGTAGCTCTTTGTCCAATCCAGCTCTCTCCCACATCGTGTTCCTGATTTGCCGATGGGAAGATCTTCATTGCAGGCAAAGGTTGTGGATCCAAAATCAGCGTTTCTGCGTTCCACTTACAAGACGAGTTGGTCTTTTTAAGATTCTCTACAGGTAGTCCTCGTCTTAGAGACCGCAGCCGAGCCCAAAATTTCTATCGCTAAGACAGTTGTCAAGCGAGTTTTAATCCCCTCCGACGACTTTTTCTTGCCACAGTTGTTAAGTGGAACGCTGCCGTTGTTAAGTTAGCAACACGGTTGTTAAGTGAATCTGGCTTTCCCCGTTGATGTTGCTCGTCAGGTCGCAAAAGGGGATCACGTGACCCCCACCCCACACCCCAGGACACCGCAACTGTCATAAGTACAAATCAGATGTCAAACGTCCGAACATAAATCACCATGCCGTAAGCATGAAAATCGGTCGTTAAGTCCCTTTTTTTCAGTGCCGTTGTAAACTGAACGGTCACTGAAATAACTCTTGTAAGTCGAGGACTGCCAGTGCTTCGTTCCTGTTTTCAATTTCTTGGGATCCACCAAGAATGGAACGGAGCTATGGAAGGAAGAGAATGGGATGAGCAAGGAGAAAGGATAAAATGAAGTTCTATATAGAATTCAACTACTGAGGTGGGACAAATTTTGGCCTAATTGAGGGCCGGTTGCAGGGGTGAAATCCAGCAGGTTCTGACAGGTTCTGGCGAACTGGTAGTGGAAAATTTGAGTAGTTTGGAGAACCGGCAAATACCACCTCTGGCTGGCCCCAGAGTGGGGTGGGAATGGAGATTTTGCAGTGTTCTTCCCCTGCCATGCCCACCAAGCCACGCCCATCAAGCCACACCACACCCACCAAGCCACACCCACAGAACCGGTAGTAAAAAAATTTGGATTTCACCACCGGCCGGTTGATAGATGTTCTCGGAGTCACGATTCCAATATTGCTGACAGATTGAAGAACCAGATGGAAACTAGTTGTCGCGTAGATTTTGATGAGATTTCCCTGGTTGAGTTGGAATGAGAGAAGGTGACTTTCTAGAGCAGGGGTGTCAAACTCAGGGCCCAGGGGCCAGATTTGGCCCAGGTGGTTGCCCTGGAAACTGAAGGACCGGCCTGCGGTGCCTCTGCCAGGGAAAACGGAGCTCAGGAGGGCCGCGTACAGCTCTTCCGAGCTCCGTTTTCCCTGGCAGAGGGTTGCAGGAGGCCGTGGCAGCCAAAAACGGAGTTCAGGAGTCAGAGGTAGGCTTCTCATACTGTTACAACCGGTTTGTGAGCGTGCGTCCCCTGCGCATGTGCGCGACGTCACAAAACTTGGCAATTGGTCGCGCGCGCCGTCCCCGCATGCATGCGGTGTCAAAAACACAGCGATATAGGACGGGATTGCACCCGGGCGGTGGTGGGCCCACCGCCTAACCACAGGTCGTCACTACTGGTTTGCCTGAACCGGCTGAATCCCTCCACTGTCGGGAGCCCATTTTCACTGGCGGAGCACTACCTGTGCCCCCAACACGAGTGACGTCGAGCCGGCCACGCTCACTCCAGCCCCCGGAGGTCAAACACAACCTTGATGCGGCCCTCAGTGAAATCGAGTCTGACATCCCTGTTCTAGAGAAAGCTGGTTTTATCACGTTTTCTCTTATTTCTGTACCGGTAGTCCTCGACGTATGACCACAATGGAGCCTAAAACTTCCATTGCTAAGCGAGGCCGTTGTTAAGGTGAGTTTTGCCCTGTTTTTATGGCCTTTGGCGCCACAGCCATTCAGCGAATCATTGCAGTCGTTAAAGCGAATCTGCTCCCCCCCCCTCCCGACTTTCCTTGTCAGAAACCGGCTGGGAAGGAAGGCTGCAAATAATGATCATGCTGGTTGCCAGGCGGCCAAATTTTGATTGCGTGACCGCAGGGATTGCTGCGACGGTCAGAGGCATGAAAAACAGTTTTTTTCAGTACCGTTGTAACTTCGAACGCTCACTAAGCCGATGGTTGTAAGTCGAGGAGTACCTGTAATCACTGCCTTGCATCTGAAGCCAGTTGGATTTGCTAGGACTTAAAAACTGCTACGCTCAGACTTTTAGCGTTATAGGGCAGGAAGGAAGTTTCTCTCCTTTATCCCACAGAAAAATGATTTTTAACCTACAACCCTCCTGCAAAATCGCCGTCTCTTGTTCCCAAGATGTCCTCTCTTCTTCCTTTCATTTCCTTTCCTTTCCTCTCTCCTCTTCTCCCTCTTTTCTTCTCTTCCCTTCTCCTTCATTCCTCTTCCCTCCTCTCTCCTCTTTTTCCTCTTCTTCTCCCCTCTTCTCTCCTCTCAACTCCTCTCTTCCTCTTCCTCCTCTCTTTTTCCTCTCCTGTCCTCTCTTCTTCCTTTCCTTTCCTCTCCTCTTTCTCTTTCCTCTCCCTCCTCTCCTCTCTTCTTCCTTCCTTTCTGTTCTCTTTCCTCTCCCTCTCCCTCTCCTCTCTTCTTCCTCTTCCCTTCCCTACTCTCTTCATTCCTCTTCCTCCCCTCTTCTTCCTCTCCCCTCTTCTTTCCTCTCCTCCTCTCCTGTCTTCTTCCTTTTATCTCCACTCTTCTCTTTCCCTCTCCTCCTCCTCCTCTCATCTCCTCTTCCTCCTTTCTTCTCTTCTTCCTCTCCCTCTTTCCTCACTTCTTTCCTCTTCCTCCTCTTTTTCCTCTCCTGTCCTCTCTTCTTCCTTTCCTGTTCTCTTTCCTCTCCCTCTCCTCTCTTCCTCTTCCCTTTCCTACTCTCTTCATTCCTCTTCCTCCCCTCTTCTTCCTCTCCCCTCTTCTTCCTCTCCCTCCTCTCCTGTCTTCTTCCTTTTATCTCCCCTCTTCTCTCTTTCCTCTCCTCACTCCTCTCATCTTCCTCTTCCTCCTTTCTTCTCTTCTTCCTCTCCCTCTTTCCTCTCCAGGGCCGGATTTAGATGAAAAGAGGCCCTAGGCTATTCCACTTATGAGGCCCTTTCACCTATAGTGAAAGTGTAATTTTTAATTTTGCTAACAATTTGAATGTAGGCCCCTCTTGATCTTGAGGCCCTAGGCTGAAGCCTAGTTAGCCTATAGGAAAATCCGGCCCTGTTCCTCTCCCTCCTCTCTTCTTCCTCTCTCCTCTCTTCACATTTCCTTTCTTTCATTTTCTTTTTTCTTTTCTTTGGTTTTTTTTTTTCCTTTTTTCGTGTTGACTCAAAAGACCCCCGTCAGGTCTTTTCGTAAACTGTGACTTGTCTTACCTGTGGGAAGACATTTATCAAGATTTTTTTTTCAAAAAAAAAAAGCACTTTTTTTTTTTGTACCTCGCCTGGTAAGGGAAAACAAAGAATATATATATATATATATGAACCTACCTATCCGAGACCAAGGCAAACCGATGGAATAGATTGCCGGTAAGTGGAAATGAATATAGATGGAAACGCAGAAGAGAAGGATTTACTGATTAATGCTGCTAAAATTCTACAGAAGCAAAGTTACTTAGATGTAAATACTCTCTGTATCTGTTTATGTGATGATTAAAGCAAAAAGACATGTACAAAGAGAGGGTGGAAAAAAAAATTTCTGTGATTAACTATGTTGTGCAATAAGAGCAGAAAAGCTCAGAACAAAAAGTTTCCAATTATAAAAGAACATCTTGCCAAATTCTCAATTTTGAGATTCATAGTCAATCTGGATTACAAGAAGTTGTCTCCTTTTCTGTTTTAAGTTTTGTCTCAAGGGTTCATAACCTTGTTGGGCTTTGGTAGATTGAATCAGAATAGAGGTGGAAGGGACCTTGGAGGTCTTCTAGTCCAGCCCCCTGCTCAGGCAGGAGACCTATACCCATTTCACACCAGCGGCTGTCCTACTTTCTTCTTCAAAACTTCCACAACTTCTGGTGGCCAGCTGTTCCACTGGCTAACTGTCCTCACTGTTAGGAAGTTTCTCCTTACTCGGTGAAGGTGAATCTGGCTTCCCCCCCCCACCCTTGACTTTGCTTGTCAGAAGGTCGCAAAAAGGGATCACATGACCTCAGGACCCTGCAACCGTCATAAACACGAGTCAGTGGCCAAGCATCTGAATTTTGACCATGGGGATGCTACCGTGGTCGTAAGCGCGAAAAGCAGTCATTGACCTTCACTTATTTTTTCAGGGCTGTTGCAACTTCAGTCACTAAGTGAACCAAGGACCACCTGTAGATTGGAAGCAAAATTGCCTTGATGGATGTTCTTTTATATCCTTATTTAAAACCCCTCCATCCGTTTTTCTGCTCTTACTGCGAATTTTTAAGTCAGGCGTCCCGAATCAAAACTGTTAATCCTTTTGTCACATACTCGATACTCGACTGTTGATTTTTATTATTATTTTTTTGGTTTGGAACTATCTTTTGAGGAGAGTTCGTTCTTCTCCAAAGCGAAGGAAGGAAAAAAAAAAAAGAGAGAATTAAAAACGCTAAAAAAATAAAAAAAAATTCTCTTATCTAGTTTTTTGCATTCCAACCTTGTTTGAGTGACTTTGCCTTTCTGATTAAGTCATGGTCTCTTTGTATAACAAAGACAGCCGCTTAACCTCTTCTGTCTTCGATTTTAATTTTCTTTTGACCTCAGAGTGTTCTCTCAGATAATATATTTAAAAATTATCTCACGAAGCCGACACACTTTCTTTCCAACTTTTTCTGTTTCGGACCTGTCCCAACTTCAGCAGCTTCAATGGCTGCCTCTTCGCTGGCGGAAAAAGGGGCTTCTCCTGGATCAACCAGGGACTTTGCGATGTGCCTGGAATCAGCAGGATGTGCCCTCCACTATCACCGTCTCTACAGGACGGTGAGGTCCA